TGTGTGATGGGTGGAGCACTCGTACAAAACATCCAATAATAAATTTTATGGTATACTGTGATAGGCACATGATATACCATAGTTCAGTTGATTGTACCAATATTAAGAAAACTGCTGAATATATTTTCAAGTTAATGGATGAGGTAGTAGAGGTTGTGGGGGAAAAAAATGTTGTGCAAGTTGTGACAGATAGTGAATCTAGTATGAAAGCTGCTGGACAACTGTTGATGAAAAAAAGAAAAAATCTTTTCTGGTCACCTTGCGCTGCGCATTGTATAGATTTGATGTTGGAGGATATTGGCAAAATGGATAATGTAAAAGAAACTATTGCTCAGGGGAAGAAGATAACAAGTTTCATATATAACAGTGACAAAGTAGTGAATCTGATGAAGACATATACAAAAAAAAGGGAACTGCTACGTCCAGGTATCACTAGATTTGCAACTGAATTCATTTCTATGGAAAGTCTTCTTCGGCATTGTACAGAACTGAAAAGAATGTGCACCTCAGATGAATGGGCAGAGTTTAATAACACTACCAAGAGAAAAGCAGAAGCTATTAAAGTAGCTGAGTTGATATTGTCAGAGAAGTTTTGGAAAAAAGTTAGAAATGTGTGTGCAATAATGGAGCCTCTGGTCAAAGTTTTAAAAACTATTGATCAAGATAATAAGCCAACATTGCCAATTATTTATGAGGCAATGGATAGAGCAAAAATGGCTATTCAAAAGTCGGTGAAATCTTGGAAAACAATTTGGGAAGTGATTGATAATAGATGGTACAATCAACTTCATCGGGATTTACATGCGGCAGGTAATTTAAAATATTACATCCAATTTAAATATGTAATATTTATTTATTTATTTTCTAATTTTGTTATTTTATTGTATTTAGCATATTTTTTGAACCCGATCCTTCAATATTCTGGAACTTGTGAGTTTAATCTGGATGAAGTTCGAAGAGGGTTAAAGAACGTCATTGCAAAGTTGGAGCCAAATTTAGATGCACAAGTTGATTCAATAAATGAGGTATTCTTTTGATTATTTTATTTATTTATATTAATCAACAAATTTTAAAATTTTAACACTTGTGTATACATTATTTTTGTAGATCAAAATTTTTGCAGACAAAAAGGGAGGCTTTGGAAGTGCTATTGCAGCAAGAGCATTACCAAAATCTTTACCAGGTTTCAACTTAATTCATACTTACATAAACATCCAAATCATATAAATGAAGTTAATATTTTTATAATATTAAAATAATAATAATAAATGAATGTTATTATTACTTTGTTTGTTTAGCTGAATGGTGGCTTAACTACGGTGAAGATGCGCCAAATTTAAGGAATATTGCAGTGAAAATATTGAGTCAAACCTGCACATCCTCTGGTTGTGAGCGAAATTGGAGTACATGGTCATTAATTCATACAAAACTACGCAACCGTTTGGCAGTTAAAAAATTGCATAAATTAGTTTTTGTGCATTACAATATGCGATTGAAGGTGAAAAATTTGATGCATCAAAGAGATACTGATGATTTCTACAACCCAATTGACTTGAATCACATTTTTCACCAAGATGATATATTGGATGATTGGATAAGAGAAAATGAACAACCCACATTGCCTGAAGATAATCTGGATTGGTTGGATAAGGGCATTCATCAAACTGAATCAGAAAGTAGTGAATATCAAGAACATGACAACGATGGTTTTGGTGATACATTGTCCCAATATATTACCAAAAGAAATAAGAAAGGTCTTGCTGCATCCTCAAGTAGGAAACAAAAAAGTAAGACTAAACAAACCAGTAAGCAGACTGTTCGTCATCTTCAAATAAAAGTGACAGCAGTAATGATGATGATGACAATGGTGACAATGGAGATGGAGGGAACAATTCTTCCAGGCATAGTGGTTACAATCGAGATAGCCAACAAGCAGGAGGTATGTCATGGGCTCAAGGACAAGATAATTATTATGCCACTCAAGATACTGATCATGGCTATCGTCCTGGTATAGAAGCACAACGTCAATTCCTCAATGATTTAACTCAATTTTCAAGTGAGGATACTTTCTCTCACCATTCAGGGTCACAAAGATATAGAGGAGTCAATGATCAGATGCAAAATTTGGGTATATACTCAACTTATGAGCATGAATCTAATCAAAACCGTAGTACTAGTCAATTGGGATATGGCTATGACCAATCATATGGAATCACTCCTGACTATTACAGTGGATATCGGCCATTTGACAGACCTGGACAGGTTGAAAGGTCTACTAGCATTCATGGTAGTGGATACTATGAAAAAGAAATAGATAAGTCTCATGATGGTTCTTCTTTTGATTCCAATAACATTGGATTTTATGGTCATGATTCTACTGCATCATATGGTACCAGCGATAGTGTTAACTATCGAGGGTTTGGATACTACCATCAACAAATCATCTCCAATCCAGAAGTTCTTCCGTCCAATGATTATGGAACATCTAGTCAATCCTCACATCCAGTAAATACACCAGATAACTCGTTTACACTACCTACTCAAGGTCCTATGCCACTTCCACATCTGTTTTACCATTCATCGACCAATCAGGATGATTTTGAACCACATCGTCATTCTACTTGGTATTAACAGGTACGAAAATATAAAGTACTAGTATATCTTTTTACATATTTACCTTTTATCTAATATGATTTCTTTTTATTTTTGGCAGGAGATTGATCAAAATATTCCAACTTTATGCTATAAATAAATCTTTAGTTTGTATTGTTAATGGTTGATATTACTTTTGCAATTATTAGTTTTAAAATTGTGGTCTATGTTATTTTGATTTTATTTGTGATGCCATTGTTTTAAATAATTAAAAGTACTTATCGTGTGTAATATGTATAAAAATAGTACATTTTACAAATTTTCTTTTGTTTTTTTTTTATTTTTGTTTAGCATACTTTTTTTTATATTATTAACAGTTTTTAGAAATTAAATGCTTTAAATTTGCGTCTCACCGAGACCGTGACCGATATGCCGAGACCGATGTGGAACGTTCCAGGCCGCGACCGCGACCGCGACTTTGAACCATGGCACCAAGTCTTCCACAGTCTGCCTCGAGTATGCAACGAAGTGACCAGAATGCAGCTCTGAAATTGCTGCTCTCCTTTGTTGCTTCCACATATCCATCATCAGCATTGAAAATTCCTTCACCAAGCAAGTCAGAAGTCTTTCTCTGTAGTAGCTTCCTTCTGGGAAGTTCTTTTGATTTCAGCATGTATTCGATCTTAGAAGGATCAGCTGTTATGATACCTAACGGTCCTCTCCACATTCCTCTGAAGTGAAATGTGCAACCAGATTTGATCAAGGCTTCTGTAATCCAGTCATAGACGTCACTGGTACGGAGAATAAGAGATGGTACTATCCCCATTACCGGCCATAGCATGGGACCCTTGTTGGTGAGTCTCTCAGGCAGTGAAGTAATGAGAAATAGCCCAACAAGTGTCATGGCCATGTCAGAAAACCAAAAATATGCACGTAACTATTCCATTAAAGAAGAAAGCCTCCCACGAACATATCCATATAGTAGTAATCATCTTTCTGTGATCCTAAGAATCCTACACTTCAGTTAAATAGGGTGAGCTTTGTCACAGCCAAATCAAACTGGGATGCTTATTAGTTGCACTTTAGGAATCATTATTGTTAATCCCCAGAAGGGAAATGGAGTTTCTTTGAGATTCTATTTTCATTAAGTCTGCACATCTCAAGCAGGGGACCTGCATCGAATATTAGAGTAGTGTTTTGTGCGCCAATGCACAGTTATACACGAAATTATTGCGTTCAAGATTGAAGCGAAGGGACGGAGCTTTGGAATTCATTGGGAGATGAGTTTGAATACTTGCAGAGTGGTTTTTTCAACTGAAAATGGAAAATATTGGACCAATTCAATTTGAGGTAATCACTAATCACACATGCAGGTCATATTCCCCATGGCTTGTGACTCGGAGATTAACTCTTAATAAGTGATTCTTTAATACATTGTCAAATTACAAACTATGTTTCTGCTATGCTCAGCTTGCTGAAATGATGTATGAACCAGTGAACCGATGCAATGGTTCTGATTTTCATTTTATAACTAGTTTCTTTGCTAAATCAAAGTTTTCTTCTCTATTTCTTTTTTCGCTTTTCTTTTCTTTTTTTTTTGGGTTATTTGTTACAGGGCACTAATTTTTCGAAGGGGAAAAGAAAATATTTGAACGCAATTTTTTGGCCAAAACTCGCATCTTTACTTCTGAAAGTAAATCCCATTGCGCTTTTCATGTCAGTGAACCAGATTTTCGCTGCTCTTTCAAATTTTAATTACATACTGATACAAGTAGTTGGAGCGTTAACCATGATAAAAAAAAAAAAAAAAAACGTTCTTTGATTCTTTTTCTCCTCCAGAAGCTTTGCAGTACTTTTAAGGAACTTGGCCATATTAAGCATAGTCATCAACAGGGACATTTCCGTGCTTTTCATATGGTATGTGAATCTTGAATTTCTTGCCAATCGAGTTTAGCTTTACCCACCCGTCTCTTCACCGGTAGTTTATAAGCCGTTTCTGTCAATACTCTGTTAACTTTGGTGTTTTATCTTCTTCGACGCTAACGCTTAGAAGGTGGTGGACTCTGCATACTCAGCTTGTCTTTTGCTTTTCCTTACTTTTTTTCCCAATAAGTCGAAAAGTAGAAGGTGCGAAGGGCCAGAAGAATGAGAAGGAATATTTAAAGCTTTATTAGTGAAGATTTGCTAGCTTTAGTGTTTCAGTGCTTTACACTGACCTTGAAAAGCATTAAATTGATGCACTTTTCTTGATCACCGAGTTATTAGTGCAAAATTGTAGTGAAGTGGTAAACAATCTTTTCTTTATTGATACGGAGAAAAGGTACCTAAAGGGATGTCTCAGCAATGGTGCATAAAAAATTACCCTATGGCTATCAGTACGCAACCTAAGGCTATTTTAAGTATTTCTCACCTCTGTTGGAAAAGTTTCGATATTTCAACTTCTCAACTCTCAATAAGAACTTTGCTCACACACTTGCACTAAAGCACATTAGTATACCAGAAGGAGCAAGTAATGCTGTTTGTCTTACTTTTCTTGTCTGCTCACAAGTATAAAAGAGCAGTCGTTTCAGGGATCATCAGCATTTCGGATACATCGTCTTCAGATGCCAATTTTCTTTTGTTTCTCAATTCAGAAAGGCACCTGATCAGGCTCCCCCTTCACTTTTGCCATGAGCTTAACCGGGTTTGAAAGGCGCTATATACATTTACCAGTGTCTACCGAAGAAGATTTTCTAATAAGAAAGATCCTTATGACCCATGACCCTGATGGTCGTCAGCTGGATGCTCAGCAATTGCTTCATGCTGTGAAGAATATTATCCATCGTGCTAGTCCTGTATCAGAAGCTGTATGTATACATTCCCCCATAAATCTTGTCCTTTCTTCACATATATTGTGCCTGTTTCAGTGGCCCTCTAGAATTTGATGTCGTATGTTAGAATTTCTTAATCATGGACTGTAATTCGAAAATCTCGGAGTTAAAAAAGATGAAGCGAATCCCCGTAACAATGATTTTATCGTCCTGGCCTTCTCTTGAAGTCTAGCATATCAGACGTGTTGGGAGTTTTGACTAATTTGGAGGCATGGAAATTTCGTTTTTGGTAAATTTTGACAATGAAATTCAGTGTTCTAGTTCAAATACGCTCCAATTGCCAGCAAACTGTCATGCTTTGCAGTGGGAGTCAATTGATCTTGATACCTTAATGATGGTCTGAAAAATTAATTGCCAAGAGATCCATCAGAATTCATGGAATAACATTCCGTATTTGCTACGTCGACATCAGCAGATAAAGATTATTATATCTTGATTCATATATACGAGATACTGCATTGCTAGAATTTGAAAGTTCTTGATTCAGGATTGTCATCCAGAAAATGTGGCCGTATGGGATGCTGATGCAATTGGATTACATGATTCGCTGGGATACACCATCTTTAAAATCTCACATGAGGTCATAACTATATGTTTCTTGATTCAACTTCCAGTCTTGCTATCCTTTAGTCTACCTAACATATAATAGCTCTACTTACAGGTACTGAGCAGATGCTTTGAGGGAGGGGATATACACACAAAGACAATGTCCTTATTTGACATGTTAGGGAAATTTAGATGGGATGCAAAAGTAGTTCTAGTTGTTGCAGCATTCTTCACAAATTACGGTGTGTTGCAGCTCCAAGTGCAGCTTCAATCCCGTAATCCTTGGCAGCGCTAGTTGCATTACTTAGACAAGTGCCATCAGACTTGAGTGGGTTCAGGGCGCAATTTAAGGCATTTACCCTGTTAGTAAAGACCGTCATGGAGTTGACAGAAGTTATCATTGAATTTGAAAGCCTGCCATTGCAACAAGAACTTTTGGAGTACAAGGTCATATCTGCTGCGAAGTCAAAAATCTACTTGGGCAGCTACTGGATTTTTAGGAGTTCATTGGCATGTTTTTCTCTCATTGCAGACTTGAGAACCAGAAAGCAGGACCAAGTGCATGTTCTTTCCCTTCAATTACCTCTTTTTTATTGTTCTTTTCCCCATGTTAATGATTATATGGTAATAGTATACACTTCGCATGTTACTTGCGTCATGTATAACCATTGCCAGCATCTCTAAGTCTCTTACAAGTATGCAAGTAAGTTGCGGATTCTTTCTTCAGGAATTCAAATTCTATAACAATTGCAGCATGGACTATGCGCAATTTAGTCTGCAAATTGAGCGCATTGTGCTGCGACTTGAGAGAGAGCAGGTCAAAATGTGCCATCAGCAAATAGGTTGGTCTCTTTGTCAAGCTTTAATTGAAGCTTTCACTGTGCAAAGTCACTTTTTATTAAGTTGTCTCCTCGCACGATTTGCAGATTCAAGGTTGTATGAGAAACTACCAAATCTATTCAATCAGATTCATGTCGATAACCAAGAAAAGCTGAAGATGCTAATTGCTTCTGGGGATAACTTCCATTGATGGATTGTTTATCAAAAGAAAAGGTATTTTCTTTTGCCAATTCGTTATCTGGGGATACACACATGGGGATAAATATTGCTGATCAGATTATTTGTAGTAAATTTTACTTGATTGATTTTCTCTTCCTGCTGGCATATTGATCTCTGGACTTCTGAGAAGTTTATCTAACCATGGCATTCTTGAAACCTGCGAGACTCCTCACTACTGATCTCATGTTCAACAGCATAGCATCTCTGAACTGAAAAAATAGGTGGTCATCCTTCTAATATCAAAGCCTGAGCTCCTCCCTATTGAGAAAATCTTCCTGCTGGTGCATCAGACATACGATCATCCCCACCAGGAGAAAATTGGAGGGAGCTATGTTGTTTTATGGGTTCCACTCTCATCTTCACATGGTTGGAGTCACGCAGATAAAATCAGTTTTCAATTTCTATCAGGTTCCTTGCCATTTTGGTCATTAAAGCAGCCAGGGTTACTAAATTCAGCAGTTGTCAACTTCATCATACAAGAATGGAACTTCAAAGAGGAGGCCACGATGGTTGTATTGGATACTAATGGCATGATCACAAATTCAAATGCAATGGACATGATATGGATCTGGGGTGCCAAAGCATTTCCATTTTCAATTTCTAGAGAGAAAGAGCTCTGGGAAGTGGAGAAGTGGACACTACAGCTCATGATTGATGGTATTGATCCTTTATTGACCAAATGGGTAAGAATTCCTACTCATAGGTAGCTCAAAATTTTGAAGATATTTATGTTCCCAAGAAAAAAAAGGACCTTTATGCTTCAGCTCACAATTTCTTTCTAATAGCAGATCGAGGAAGGTAAAAATTTCTGCATTTTTGGAAGTGGGAACGCAGATTGGATCAGAAATTTCAGTTCCAAAATCAAGGAAGTTAGTAACACAGAACTTCAGCTGGAGGTGATTTATGTTGGCTGGAGGAGTCCAACTGAAAAATTACAAAGCATTTTACGTATTATCGAACAAGAAAACTTGTGTACATATCTCACATTCACAAAGATTCGTTTCTTTTGGCTGCGATTGGAGAGTATGAAAAGTTTGACTAGTCGCCAAGAAAACAATGATGATGATGATATGTCGAAAGAGATATTGGGATTGTTGGAAGTTGACGACAGTGATGATGGATGGGTGCTCATTGGGACAGGATCTTTGCCAGGCCTGATAAAGCTTCAAGGACAGAAAGTTACAGAATTCTTTGATCTTTTCCCGTCTGGGCTGAAAATTTAGGGACTATGGGAATAGTGGGTGCTATTAAAAGTGCCCTTGAGCCTACCCTTTCCACAGGACCTTGCGATCATGCTGAAATTCTTGCATTCAATGAGGGATTGTTAAAGGGGCCTGTGTTCTGTGCAGTATGTAAACGCCTGAAGGAGAAGTATGTACTCTACAAATGTGATGCAACTGGATAGAAAGTTGCAAAATTTCCAGTCATTTAACCATATATAATAGGATGATCAGCATGTCAGGTGGATAAGCAAGTAGCAACCAAAGAAAATGAACTGTCCATGCTAATATTACTACTAATAACTTATCCTTATTATGGTCTATATCCTTGCTTTTCTGGTAAAACCACATTCAGATTTTTCGGGAAGACTGCTTCTGCTGCGCAGACAGATACACGATAACAGACAACAATAAAACGGAAAAAAAAAAAAATGGAAGAATAAGAAGGAAGTAAACCTATTTTCTTACCTGTACCATATTGTAGTCGGATGTTTCAGGCTGCTAACAATCATCCAATCTTCCTATAGCATTACCTGAAAAAAATTTACTCAAGTGAATAGACAGACAGGAGTACAAATTTATTCATAGTAGTTCCAATTTTATCTCGTTTTCGTCCTTCCCTCTTAAAAAGTTAATTTTATGTTCTTTACAAATTCAAAGTCAGCAAAATTTGATCCTAACCTAAGTTGCTAGCCATTTTTTAGTCTAAAATCATTAAGCAACTCACATGTGATCATTTTTTAGGTATAAAAAAGTTTAGATTCCACTTGTTTAGGGGTAAAAATGAATGTGAATCGGGTTATATCTTACTTTTTTTTAGAAGAAAAAATGAATATAATTCAAGTCTGATTCTATTTTTTTTAGATGCAAAAAAGAAAATGTATCGGGTTATTTGTTTAACTACAAGTTGTATCTAATTTTTACCCCTAATAAATGATCCCGTATGAACCACATAATAATGTATTTAGATAAAAGGTGGACGAAAATTTAAATTAGATATTAACTTGAATTTATAAAAGACGCGAAAGACAAAAAAGTTCATTTATCGAAATGTGCTTCTAAGCAACACAGGAAGACATCATCATAATTGTCTTCAAGACTTGTGGTCTCTTTCTAACAGAGAGGAGAGAAAAAAAAAAAAAAAAAAAAACAATCCAAGCGCTCAGAATACCGTCTGCAAGACATTGGGTTGTAACGGAGCCTCCATTGGCAGGAAAGAACACATTCACTGTCTACACCAGCAATTCCATTTTTTTACAAGAAATAGTACTTACAGTTTCGAATAAATCGTATTGAGCTTGGACCAGTTCGATAACAGCAATGTTCTTCTATACGTAGAAATCAGACATGTTATGATCACCAAATCACAAGGGGATTTTCATGTTAATATCTTCCCGAGTAAATATTTACCTTCTCTTTCACCTTTCTCTCGACAAAACTTTTCTCAATTGATTACTTCCAACTGCGTTATGGTATGAAATTCCATGAGTAGGCGGCAATCAAATGCAAGGATGAAAGCTCAACACTATAAAAATGAAAAGCAAAAAAAAAAAACAAGAAATAGGCAGCAAACCGGCAAAAGGACAGAACAGAGCTTGGAAAAGGTTGGACTTGATTCTGTCTGCTGGCATTCTCAAGACATTCCATTATTCATAGCTTTTTCTTATTCCTTCTCAAACTTTGCTTTATTCAGTTACTTATGCTTGTGATTGGCTACTTGGAATTCCTTAAGGGAAAGGCCTCGTCTGTTGGGTCCCCAAAATCAAGATTCCAATATTTTCAGAGAGATTTAAAGTCCCCTTTGACACTTTTCTTTACGCGATAGATTTACAACTTACCTGCATTTGGCTAGCATGATAGAATCTACATTTACCAACCAATTACGTTAATTACATAACTTACTCCAGCAAAAGGGTCCTCCTTATTGATGACGCTGCAGTGCATAATGCGATAGGTGTTTTTGTCCTCCATTCTCGCAATGCAAATTTTTACACAAATATAAGATCCTGTATCAAAGTGAGCAAGCTTTACTGTGAAAGAAAGAATTAAAGTCACACCGTCTATTGTGGACTTGCAGTGCGTGGAAATGTGCTTTCCTGCCTTTCCTGGACTTCTTTCCTTTTAGGCTCTTGTACTATAATAGACCCAAGTATCAAGCAAAGAAAAAGAGAAGTATCCCTCCATTGCTAAAGTAGCCAAGTCATCTGCTGCAACTAATTCACCTCTGCTCACGCCAAGAATGGTGCATGACGACCATGGCTCCACCATGCTTGGAACAAGAGCGACAGAAGAAATTTTTGGTTAACATGTTGTCATTAATCAGGTAGGAAATGATAATTGAGTTCCCTAACTTATTCAGACCATTTACATGATTCAACCAGATTCAGACCATATGTAGAGAGATTTAACGAGATATGCAAACCTAATAAAAGCATTACAATTTAGCTGCTTGTGCAAGCCTGATCAGCTCAGGTACAGATCACTTTGAAATATCGTACATAACTCGGTCCGAGAACTCTCGACATTTGAGTATTTGACAGTACCGACAGACGTTGTGAAAATACACTGAAGGCGAAATCCTTAGATTATTACTTCATCAGGCGATGGGAATTTCCGACCTTTCACAAACTTCATTGGTTAAAACCATAGTCGAAGCAAGGAACATGATTCATTCTGCCTTTATTCCATGACAAGAAGCTATATAAGGCCCCTTGAGAAAGCAGAACAAACCAAGCTAAGCCATTCTTCCTCCACCACATCTCTCATCAAAGACCTCAACCTATTCCCGCAATGGCTAGTGAATTCTGCCAACTACAAGGGGCCTGCAATTGCAGCCCATACAGCCAATTCAGCCTGTGTCTCGCCCAATGACTGAAAATGTACCCACCACTAGGGGCCACCCAATGACTCAAGCAACCCACGAAATAGCGCCAGTACCAGGGGTCAGCCATCGACTACAGCTCGCCCTTACCTCGGTGAATCACGCCCCACTTTTGGTGAAGGGCAGGCTCACCTTGGAGAAGGGCAGGCTCACCTTGGCGAAGCGCAGGCTCACCTTGCTGAAGTGCCTGCTGTTAGGGGTCAACCCCCCACAAATGTGCCTGGTATTTTGAAGAATCAACCACCTGCCGGCAGGAGCGGCCATTTGATGAGGGAACGTCATCTGTTCTCAAGTTCAGATGATAATGCCATGATGAAGCAAATTCTAGCCGCACATGCTCCAGATGGCCGTGAATTTGATGTAAAAACTCTCGTCTTCATCGTTGAGGATATCATGCGCCGTGCTACATTTCTTGGCGAAGTATGTTATTGTCTCTTATTTATCGCCCTCGTTCAGGATATGTACATAATGGAGTATATGTCCTCGTCCATGAATTTATTATTTAGTCGTATCACATATTCTAACATAAAATTGTATCTCTTTTGATCATTTTAGGGAGCACAAAGTCAAGCTCCTGCTGATACGTGGGAGGATAGGGCTATTCACGGCGGTTACACTGACATGCTAGAACTTTTGGCATATCCCATCAACAAAACAAATTCTGAGGTATGCATTCCGTATATATGCCTATCAAAGCTCCAGTGGACGTAGGGCATTCATGAAGCACTGTCACTATATACAATTTCAGTGAATTCAACCATGTTTGAAATTTAAAAAAAAAAAAAAAAAAAAAAAGATGTTGCACCTAAGACGCACACAAGCAGAAAAAGAGGACATTGCAGAGACAGATCTCCACCCGAAAGAATATATTATGCTATACTGACATTGTTACTAAATGTTGTAAACGTGATATATGGCAGCTAATCTGCAAGTGCAGTTCGGGAGGAGATGCACATTCAATAACTATGGCACTCTTCCAGACACTGTCAAGCTATACTTGGGAGGCCAAGGTGGCAATAGCCTTTGCGGCTTTTGCTGTGAGTTATGGTGAGTTCTGGCTGGTTGCTCAGCTTTACACCACAAATCCACTAGCCAAGTCAGTTGCAGTTCTTAAGGAACTTCCAGAAATAATGGAGCATGCTGAAGCGTTGAAGCAAAAGTTTGAGGCAGTTAATAACCTCATTAACGCAATGCTGAATGTGACTCATTGCATTGTTAAGTTCAAGGAGCTCCCTACACAGTATATTAACCCTGAATCACCTGAAATGATATCTGCTGCTGCCCATATCCCCACAGCTGTTTACTGGACCGTTCGTAGCATTGTTGCTTGTTCGTTTATACTGCTGAACCTTATAGCCCTTGGACACGAGTATGTTTCCAATTTTCACTTCTTGTCAAGCCGTATTCTTGGTTTCTCTGACTACTTGGTTTAATGATAGAAAATGTCCTACACTCGTAGTAGCTAAACATGCTAGCGTGTGCAACAAGAAGATACCATCTGCACTATTTCTTACAATGTTTTTAGCAGTACTCCACCAGAAGGTTACGCTTGCCTAGCTATTTGCAATTTTAATCACTGTAATGAGGGTATGACTAAGCACTTAGACCGACAGTTGCAAACTTATTATTGTGATTGCTGCATTATAATTTTTATATTTTTAACAGGTATGTCGCCTCAGCTGCAGAGGCGTGGGAATTGAATAGTTGGTTTACAACTTATTATTGTGATTGCTGAATTATAATTTTTGTCTTTTTAACAGGTTTGTCGCCTCAGCTGCAGAGGCGTGGGAATTGAATAGCTTGGCTCATAAGCTTGCCAGCATAAAAGAGCACCTGGAAAGGCAAATGGATGTTATAAACCGGAGAATAGGTAATTACCTGCATATTGAACTTGTTCAGAACAGTTATGTAATATACTTACTACTTCAGAAAATAGGTAAATCAGAATTACGCATCCTACTTCACCATTTAATGACACAAGTCTTCCCATGTTGCAGAGGAGAGGAGAGAAAACGACGCATATCTAGCACTTGTTCGACTCTTTGAGACAACCCACGTCGACAACATGAAGATTCTTAGGGCTTTGATATATGCCAAGGAGGACCAGCTGCCCCTCTTTGATGGAACTCACAAGAGAAGAGTTTGTTCTCAGATTTCACCACAACCTAGCTTGCCTCCTTTTGCATATTGACTATCATGTACGTGACGTCTTTTTATCTTTTGAATGATGGCAGGCTAGCCTGGATGTATTGAGGAGGAAACATGTTGCTACTCATTTCAGACCTTGACATGTCCCATGAAGAGCTCTCAGTCCTCCATCAGATGTATACTGAATCAAGGCAACAGCCAACTAGGCCAGAGAGTCAGTACGAGGTTGTTTGGCTTCCAGTTATTGACAGATTATTACCGTGGCATGATGCAACTGATAAGCAGTTTCAGTTTGTCCAAAACTCAATGCCATGGTACTCAGTGGCTCACCCAATGATGCTTGACCCTGCTGTCATCAGATTCATCAAGGAGAACTGGGGCTTTAACAAGAAACCTCAGCTTGTTGTCCTGGATCCACAGGGAAAAGACTCAAATCGCAATGCTTTGCACATGATGTGGATTTGGGGTAGTTTAGCTTTCCCTTTCACTAAAGCAAAAGAAGAAGCACTATGGAGGGAAGAAACCTGGAGGATTGAATTGTTGGCTGACTCCATTGATCCAAACCTTTTCCATTGGGTATCGACGTCTTATCTCATCTCAGGAATCAATTGCTTGCTAATTTGGGTCAAGAAATAGTAAAAAAAGCCAAACTTGAAATTATGCGGAGTGGTTTTATAGTGCATCTTGATACCAAGTATATAAGCTAGTACTGAACATGTTTCATGTTTCACAGGTAAATGAAAACAGATACATATGCTTGTATGGTGGAGAGGACATCGAATGGATCAGGAAATTCACAAACACTGTGCGGGGTGCTGCAAATGCTGCAGGTATCCGACTGGAGATGCTCTATGTAGGGAAAAGCAACCCCAAGGAAAGGGTGAGGAGAAACAATTCCATCATCCAGGCTGAGAACCTAAGCCACATTTTGACTGACCTGACTCTGATCTGGTTTTTCTGGGTGAGGCTGGAGAGCATGTGGCACTCCAAGAATCAACATGGCATGACAGTGGAGAATGATCCGATAATGCAAGAGATTGTGACCATGCTTAGCTTTGACGGAAGTGACCAGGGATGGGCTGTATTCTGCAGAGGTTCGCATGAGATGGCTAAAGGAAAAGCCGAAACAATTTATGAATGCATGAGCCAGTTTGATCGGTGGAAGGACAAAGTTGTTTACCCCGATGGCTTTGTGATTGCGATGAATGACCATCTTCGTGAGCTCCACACCCCCCATCATTGCAACCGCCTGATATTGCCCGGACCTACTGGGCATATTCCTGAGAGGGTGGTTTGTGCTGAATGCGGCCGTCCCATGGAGAGGTTCATCATGTACCGTTGCTGCATCGATTAAATTCAGCATTTGAGCTGAACCCAGGTCACGTTAGCTTTGGAGAACCAACATTGAATAATAATTACAATAACAAGCAAGCAGCTCTGCTTCTCCAAGGTCCAAACTAAACTACTACTACCACCATATATTCAAAGAGTTTGCTATTATTCCGCGTAAGAATAAAGCTGCTGTACTTTTTGCTTCCATGGCTTTTCTGCCTCCTACGATGGCACTAATAGTGCTGCGTGCTGTAAAATATTCCCAGTCGTGAATAAACGAAACTTTTCTCTTAACCTTCTCATTGTCTCATCTTCCTTTCATTATTTTTTTTGGGTTTGTTTTTCTGCCTCCGCATTTTCATATGCCTGTTGATTTATACCTTTTGCAGAATGCAGAACTAGTACTAGTAGTTGTTTACTACCGGGAAGAAATTAAGCTTCCACGTGATGATTGATTACCAATATATGCAACTTTTTAACTCCTTATGATTACTCGATGCTTCCCTCTGCATTCTACTACCAAGTTCAATCAATGACGTCTGAGGGAGGCAAAGCTGGTCTTTTCTGGGCATGATCCATGCAAGTATGGTTGAGAAGAAGACAGTTAAACTGTTTTCATTAGAACTCATTCGTTTTTGGAGTAATTCATTCTTCATCTTTAACTTCCTCTTCTTTTTTTACCATATCAAAAGAAGATTGTTCTTTGGTATTTTCCTGGATTCTTCTTACTCAAAAAAGTGTAGCAGGAGACAGGTAGCACGATGCAACAGAGAGATTTACACCGCGCTGTTTAATACTGACGAAATTGATTTATGCTTCGGGAAACTTGAACTCCCTCACTTTGGAAAGCAACTTTTCCAGAGAGAGTTCACCATTGAGAAGCAACTTAACTTTCGTTTATTTACCAAAAAAGAAAAAAAAAATTCAAGGAAATAAACCATACCAAGCAAGCATATGCGCAAGTAGTAATTACTACTGATAATAAGAATAATAATATGTGACAATCCGACTTAATTGAACAACGTGAGAACTAGTGGCTTTCAAGGTATATATAATGGTCGGATTGCATTTTTGAGTATTGATTTATGCTTCCGTTGACGCGTCCGTTGTGAGCCAACGAACGCAACGCCTCACTGAAGCAAAACCCCTAAAATGATTTTGAGGGTGAGAGATGCATGTAGAAGTGATTATCCAGGGAATAAAAATCAAACATACAAACTCTACAGAAATTTTTTTAACAAAAACAAAAAAAATAAATAAATAAAAAGGAAGTTGTCGTTCTGCAGTTTCCGATTTGCCGGAGCAAGAATCTGGCGGCCATCATAAATCCCAGGGGCTGCCGAGCGGCGGAAGGGTTCAGCTAGGCACTTGTGCGTAGTGGAGGGTTTCAAGTTTCAACTTTCAATTTATAAACGACGGGGCCTCCCATATATTTGCCACGGAGAGGATAATAAGATGCTTAAATTACACTTTCTTCCCCTGTATTTTGAGATCTTTGCTTTTCCTCTATTGATTTTTTGATTTTTTGAATACATATGAGAGAAAATCTCCTCCTCACTAAGTAAGTATAAATTAGAGTATGGTGGTATCTAAAAGGCAAACTAGCTAGTACATCTAATAGTACTAATGGCTTGAACGACATGTTTCCCTTTAATATGAAAGCATGATGTATTGCTATATTTCCATGCAAAATAATAAATGATTGTACGCATTCCTTATAAATGCACTATTGTAGCTTATTTATTCTTGTTTCATTTTCTAGCACTATATCATTGGCTTTCTTTCTAGAATTTTAGAGATCCAAATCTCAAGTTTAAAATTTTAATTTTTCATACAATTTGTTGTACCAAAAATAATTGAGCATAGACTCTCAATTCATAAATTATAGATTTCCCTTTGAGTTACATATTGTATGTTTAGCATGTCATTCATAATTCACCATACAAACCTTATGGTGAATAAAGATCTCAAATAAAGTTGCCACAAAAATTCTTAGTTTCTAATCATCTTTACCCCTTCTCCCCCCCCCCCCCAAATTTTGTTCTACTTCATGTCTTATACCTGCTAAATATCATATAATATGATTACTATAGAAATATTGAAATAGATGAATACACGCACAATCTCCATTATATTGTTACACAATATATTTGACATGATGTTACATAAAATTCCCCCTCGCTCGTACGTATTAGGGTGCACATTAAAATCTCCATTGTAATTTTATACAATATATTGAAGTTCCAAATTTCTTATGAATCCTACCAAAGGAAGAGGTTAATAAGTCAAAACTAAAGGGTAACAGAAGGAATATACTCAATGTCATGTTAAACTCAGCGAAATGTATCGTTCTATATTTGGCATAATTAGTCCAAAGGGCAAACAAGCCCCTATAGCTCAGTGGTAGAGCGTCAGTCTTGTAAACTGAAGGTCCGTAGTTCGATCCTGCGTGGGGGCACTCATCATTTTTGCCGCCTACATTCTTTTTTTTCAGTTCCCTTTCGGTAGCCCTCGAGTTTATCAGTTCACAAATCAACCTCTTTTGTCCCGCAGACCGCAATTTTTCATTATGGCCGGAGTCGTGAAGAAGCTGCTTCAGAAGCTACCAGATCAAAGAATCATCACATGTCTCAACCATCAAAAGCCGTTAACTCCTTTGTTTCCAACAACTATCCAGCGAACCTTACTCGACCCTCATTCTTTCGTACAAAATCCCAGTTCAAATTGTTCAACCGTGGAGAAATTTGCCCACAAAAATGACTTTCATATTTATCCCAGTTTTTCATTTGGGTATTTTTTGAATCCAATCTTCTCATCTGGGCTAAAGTTAGATCAGTCTCAATCACTTGAAGCAAAAAATTTGGACTTGGATGAGTCAAGACTCATGTGGGCTGACAGTGTCAAGAAGAAGAGAAAGAGGAAGATGAACAAGCATAAGTTGAGGAAACTTCGCAAACGCCTTCGAGGCCATTCATGAACAAGGTCCACTCGATAAAGATTCAATCTTTTTGTTTCCCCATTTTTATGATACAATTTCTCTACGTTTTATTTAAAAAAAATTGAGGGCATTATAGTCTAGGTATTACTGAATTTTGATCTTGGAATATGTGTTTATTTTCTCTTAATAATATCGGTGGATTATAATTCTTGAAAGTTCTCTGGCTTCATTAGTTTTAGCAAAAATGTATACGTTTTAGGTGGTAGCATTTAATACCGGTGTTAGGGTTGTGTTTATCTGCCCTAGTAAGCACAACTGAATGATTTATGCTTGTAGTAAGCTCTTAAAAGAGAATATAGAACTAATTTAAACAGATAACGTGAAAAAATATGCTTGCTTTGCTATAGTTGAACTTGAATAAGTACCGAGAGCAGAATTAGGAACCTTTCTAGGTGAAGCTGTACTTAGATCAATTCCAGAAATGGTGGCAAATTATCATCTCCTACTGCTGTGCATTTTGTCTGGAATTATTTTTCCTTCCTTGCTTTTAGCTTTGTTGCTAGACTTCAGATAACAACACTAGTATCTCTTAACCATTAATTTTGATCGTATTTGTTTCACAGCCTAGTTGGAGCATTTAAGCCCTTAAGCTACTAAATGGCCACTTAGGTCTGTTATCCCGTGAGGTATTAAGGTGGAATATCAGATTCTATTATTGGTTACAGCAAATAGTTGTTTAAAATGACTCAGAATTCCCTTATGAGTAGGAAATCGAATATGAGCTCATTAGTTTGAGGTTTGGTGTTTGGAAAATTGTTGAAATTCTTTATCTAGAAATCTTATGGTCATAAATGCTTAACTTCCTTTTTTGCAATAAGGTAAAACGATTGAATTTGAAAACATCGGATACCAAATTTTATACCTATGACCTGTCTATGATACGGTATCTACGAACTATTGTTGCTTTCTCATGGATAAACTGTAAATCAGATTGACAAGATTCAGGTTAAATATATGTGGTGTTTAGTAATTTCTCTTTGGAGTCTCATCAGCGTCGTAATACTTTGAGGCTTTGGAGTTAATGTATTCCAAAGAGATGTGAAGGTTCTTATCAACTATGTATCATTGACTGCTACTGTCACTACTAACTCCATGTCTTATCTGCTAGACCATGGTCAGATGTACTTTAGCTAGTTTTAAAACCTTGTCTGCTCAGAACCAATATCCTGTAATCTTAATCTTGTAATTGCCACGAGTGAAGAAAGTCAGTAGTTCAATCTAAATAAAATTGAATTTCTTGCTAAGAGAGAGGAAAAATGAAAAAGTTATGAGCATCGTTACAGCTCATGACTACTTACTGAAAAGAGGGTTACACGATTGATGAAATTTGACTTGTAAGTTTTGCACTCAGTGTTTGATTATCTTCTTTTGAACATTGAACTTCATTATTTAAATGTCTATGATTGAGTACAGAAAGAATTTTAATTCTAATTGCAGAAGTAAGATAAATCAGATTAATTAGAATTTTCAGCTGTTTCATAATTTTTGTGAGAATAGATTGAAGTCAAAACAATCCAGAAGTTATAAGCGTATAACTCTTTTAGTCATTCTTTTCTTTTGGAAGTGTGGGATTTACTTGGTCGACTGGAATCAATGACAAATGAAGTTACAACATCATACCGTGCAGCACTCAAAAACTAATGGGTTTGCCTGCATATTAGTGGAATCCATCAGGTTTAACTTGTTTCTCTTCTTGTCTCCGCATTTAGTTGTAGATTATAGTTTTGATCTAATTGTCTTAGGTGATTTCTGACACCATGTAGAGGATATGCTTTTTTTTTTTGCATGTGCATCATCCACGGCGGTAATCATAAAGTGCCATTTCATGATGCTAGTTGACTACAATTACAAAGAAACAATGTTCAACACAATGAACTTGATAATAGGAAGCACACAAATGAAGAAGCATGTTATACATATCACATGGGGAAGACTTTCTTTTCACTTCTTTCTTTTTTAAAAAAATAAAAAAAATCTTCAAACAAATAGTGGCAAAAATGTATATACAGAACTGAGAGCAAGACAATTTGAAAGAAAAGATTAGAAGTTTCGTTGAGGGAAAGGAAATTTTTACAGGGATACTTACATGAATCCCATGTTTGATTTTTACTACAATTTTCTCTTGTACATTGCGGACATGCACTTTAAGTGAAAATTTTGTGGACTTGCAAACAAGTTCATGTTTATTAATTGAACTTTGACCAGTATTTTCTGTCTGTTGAGTTGAAGAAATATTTAGATCACTTGATTTTTTTTCTTTCCGCTGGGCAGCCTTTGTCTATTTCAAGAACTTGGGA